TTTGTAGCCAATCGGGTTAGCCACATCCAAGAAACGATCCCAAATGTCAAGTGGTATCACGTGTCCACTCACGAAAATCCCGCAGACTGTGCAAGCCGTGGCTTAACTCCTGCCAGTCTGGCAGATCATCCCTTATGGTTTCAAGGACCTCCCTGGCTTCTTCAACCAAGTTCTTCATGGAATCGACAACCCCCAAATTCATGTGGTAATCAAATAGCCGCAATCGAAGAAAGGAGTCCCATTCTTTTAACGGCCATGATTGAGGATCATATCCTGGACACTCTATTAGACAAATATTCCTCTTTGTCTAAAATGCAGAAAATCCTTTGTCAGTGCCTGAGAGTTTTTCACAATTATCGTCACAAATCGTCTCCGCTTACCGGAGCGATCTCCTCCTTTGAACTTCAAAACGCTTTGCTCCTTTTATCCAAAAGAGCTCAACAACGACGATTTTCAAGTGTCATTGCCCAAATTCGAAACAATGAGCTAGTTTCAAAGTCCTTTCGACCTCTTGCTCCTTTTCTTGACAAGGAGGGACTGGTCAGAGTGGGCGGACGGTTAAGACATGCCCATATGTCCTTTGAAGCCAAACCATCCTTTTACTCGTCGCCTAATTGAACAAGTTCACCAAGACAATCTACATCCTGGTTTGAATACCGTCCAGAATTTGTTGCGTCAGCAATTCTGGATTTTATCTACCCGAAGAGCGATACAGTCTGTGCTTTCCCGCTGCATCAGATGTTTTCGTCTCAGACCAAAAGCGTATACTCCGTATATGGGAGACCTACCCTCATTTCGAATCTCCCAACTTAAATGTTTTTCGCATGCCACTCTGGATTATGCTGGCCCCTTTAATATAGTCATGGGAAGATATCGAGGCGCCAAGGTTCTGAAAGCCTATATATGTGTCTTCGTGTGCTGTGCCACCCGGGCAGTGCACATTGAGCTTACTTCTGACTTGACCTCCGAGGCATTTATTGGAGCATTCCGTCGCTTTTTTTTTCGGCGTGGGCGGGTAACCCATCTCTACAGTGACAACGGAACGACGTTTGTGGGTGCCAATACTCAGCTGATAGAAATGTCCCAATTGGCGGCGGATCATCTTCAAATTCTCTGGCATTTTAATCCCCCAGCTGCTCCGCATTTCAATGGCTTGAGTGAGGCTGGCGTCAAAGCGGTAAAGACTCATCTGTATCGAGTGATCGGTGATCAGCGACTCACTTACGAAGAGCTAAACACTTTCCTTGCTCAAGTGGAAGCCGTCTTGAACTCCAGGCCTTTATGTGCCCAGAGCTCCGACCCAAACGACTTGCAGCCATTAACCCCGGGACATTTTCTGACCCAATAACCTCTAAATTCTTGTCCCGACCCTGATTTGTTCCATCTCAAATTGAACACTTTGTCTCGGTGGCAATTAGTTCAACCATTGAACGCAGAATTTTGGAAACGCTGGAAGGATGAATATCTCCCCACCTTGCAGCAACGCTCAAAATGGACTCAAAATCCTTCTAAAATAACTTTAGATCAACTAGTAATTATCAAACATGAAACGAAACCTCCCCTTCATTGGGCCCTTGGCCGAGTTGTTGAGCTACATCCCGGACCAGATGGGCATGTTCGGGTGGTCACCTTAAGGATCCAGCAAGGACTGTTTAAACGTCCTATTGTTAAGCTGTGTCCTTTGCCAATTGGTTAGATTCCAAACCTTACCAATGTATCTATATGTTTGTGTCGTCGCAGGTCAGAATTCTTACCTAATTTATTTTAGTTTATTTTTTTTTTTTTTGCTCAATTTTATTTCTTCTCTTTGATTTTTGATTTTCAAAACGTTGGTTTTGAGTGGGCGGAAAATGTATGTGCATCTCTTCAAGAGTGTCAAAGTCACGAATTTTGCTCATATTGAAAAACCATACAAATTCAAATAGGTATAGCGCCTCCTATGCAGGGAACGCGTCCTCGGTATGGAACCGAGGTCGACAAAAAAGGTACGAAAAACACTAGATTCGTACAGCCAAGCGACTGCAAAACACTCTCTCTCTTTTCGCCAAACACGAAACACGAACACACAATTTTTAATCCGTTTTCGCACATAAGAAAGTCGATGAATATCGCGAGCTCGCCGGTTACCGGTTTCGAAATAAAAGCCGGTAGTGTTGTGCAACCGAAACAAAACCCGGGATCCCGGTATTAACAATTAACTTTGAACTAGAACCCCAGAACCACAGGTAAGGCGCCTTTTATCATATTGTCTTTTGTATGGTTATTTTTTGCTACATATTCATTAGTTGCGCTTACAGTCCACGTAACTCCGAAGGTGATTCTAAAATATCAACCATTACGCCAACACCACTCTTTGATAGTCTCTACATCTAGCTTACCTATAACCAGATAGATAATTGAAGGGTCCCAATCATTGGTATTTATTTTCATGTTCTCAAGAGATCTAATATTTTTAGAAATAATATCTATGATAGTTCTAAAACTTTTCGATGAGTCACCCTTGATCTCAAAAATGTTAAACAGGGATTTTATGTGGTTGTGGACAATTAACCGTTTTTTCTGAAATCTCTGGCATATAATGTCCCATGCCATTTGATAATTATTAGAGCGAATAGAAATTGCCTGAATGCAATGAGAAGCTGACCCTTTCAGAGATGCCTTTAGATACTGAAATTTTTCAATGGGAGCGAGATAGGTATTATTATGAACAAGAGATAAATACAAATCTCTAAATTCAAGCCATTTCTCAAAATGCCCAGAAAATTTAGGCAACTCAATTGTTGGTAGCTTAACAGCAGGCCGTTGGTCACTGATAATGTTTGGCACACCACGCAGATGCCCCCACCTATCATTGAATGTGCCTGATAAGAAGGAGCTGGTTGGGAATTGATTGAAAGGAAATTCTTAGTTTTTGATATGATTTTAGATATTTCTCTTCAAACTCCTCCAACTAATTCTCAGTAAATTTGTCAGGATCCAAACCCTGCAATTCAAATTGTATGTTAGTGAATTCTGAAAATACATTAGCTTCTATTTCGTTTAACCTTCTTTCTATTCCGAGAATAGTGGCCTGATTAGTATTTTTACCATCGATGATTACTTGGTTGAAATAATTTGAAAATCGTGATAATTTTGATTTCAAAGAGGTTCGCTTACGGATTAAAGAATCAGTTTCACTTTAAGTTAACTCCGTATCATGTCGAACTTAAAACTGAAAAAGATTGAAGATAAGATTGCGGTAATGACCTTTTTCTCCTACGACTCCAGACATGTTTCTTGTTCTTGAAGAGAAATTAACTACGAACGCCTCGATACACTCAGAAAACCAGCAGTTATCTGTTTCATGTAGACATAAGGGTTTTAGTACAATGCTGGTGCGAATCCTCCTTTATAGTAAGCAAATATAATTTATAGTAAGCATAATATAATAGTAAGCAAATATAAATTTCACTTTGATATTGTCTGGTATGAAATTTATAACTTTTTTTTGCGACTGGTCCTCGAAATTACACAAATTGCCTTGGAAATTGGAAAAATATTACATAAAAACTTTAACCTTGAGTTCCTCTTAATTATAATAAATATCACCTAGAAAATCTTCATTGCATTGAAGAACCATACCATTGACACCGGTTCCATGAGTTTTCATGTAGGGTGAATTTATTCAGGAACTTTTCTTTGACTGTCTCGAAAAAGACCAAATGTTGGCGATTGCAGCCTCGTAAATGAGTGGACTATATTATTTTCTTGTCTTGGATTTCCGGAATGCCCTAGCTTGACAGGCTATTAAAACATTGAACTCCAAACTTCCCAATCGTTTTTATTCATAGAATTGAAAAACTAGAAGAACTGAATTATTATTTTTATTTGCAATCATATATGTAATCTTGTCATTACTGACTTTTTAAAAATTTGGAAGTGACACTTTACCTGTGTCACTTCCCTCTTCGATTTCCCTCACCGATTTCCCTATTCGACTTCCCTCACCGATTTCCCTCACTCTAATTTATTTACCTTTGCTGGCAACAATGAGAACATGTCAGGTAAAAACGTCAAAGCAGTGAATGACACATTTTGGCATGTTTGTTTTATTTTTTTAATATTAAAAAAAATTGATTGACTAATCATAATTAATGGTGTGCTTGCAAATAAAATAGTATACAAACCTCGGAGGAAAGTTTTCATTTCTGTCTCGAGATTAATAGTCAATCTCGACGCAGTAATGAAACACTTTCCTACTCGGTATGTAATATACTATTTATCTCTTGGCGACAATTATTAGGACCAGGACCTAGCCGTCTTAGTTTTTCAACAAGCGTCGTACATAGATTTATACACAGTGTCACCATTACTTGGTCCAGGCTACATTATAAATAGAAAATTCTAACAAAAGCTTTTCCTAAATCAAATTTTAGAGCTTGGTACTTATCTATTGGTCTGCAAATATTTTAATATAGTATCTATCTATTATACAGACCGATAAAAAGCAGGAGTTTTCTAATAATCTGAAGCATTGTTGCTTTTTTTTCTGTATTCACCGTATTTACAATATTCATTAAAGTCATTTCAATTTTCCTCCCTTTCATGCCTTTCAGAATTCGGTCGCCTGTCATCTTGCCAAACATGTATCTATATAATATTTTATGCCATTCAACATCGAAAAAGGGAGCCCCTTATCGTATGTTTTGAGAGCATACCAAGGGTTTTGCCATTTGATATAATAAAGAGGCTGAATCTTCTAACAATAAAAATCTCTTAGGCATGCTGTGATTTTATATAAAGCTCCAAGATTTTTTAGAGCTTGAAAATAAAGCGGTATATAAATATGGGTATACGGTAATTTCACCTAACTTCTTTCTTGTTCTAGGAAAACTAGGAGAACTACTCATCAGAGGAACATCAAAACCTATTTCTTTGCCATAATGGGTCGACCATCGCAGTAAATTTTTACAGGTAAGTGAAAAAAAAAGTTTCATTAGTGAAATAAAACACATATCGACTACTCTCAAGTCTGATTCTCTATTTTGATAAACTTTTCCTCCTCGCAAATAGTTGAAATACAAGATTCCTTCAGTACTCTGGGAGTACGAAAATCCCTACTGAAATAGTACAAGTAAATAGTTCCGACTGCTAATAATATCAATGACATTATAAGTTGCGTCTTTGGTACTATGACGGTCATAAAGTAGAGCAGGGATACTATGTGCCATGGAAGACCTTCAATTTCCTAAAAAAAAAACATCTTTCAAATAATGATAACATTAGTAACTTCAATAAAATCTAATTTATATAGTAATAATTCTACCTAGCATCTATTTTCAGCAGCAATTTGGTAATATTTATTACCAGATTACATGCCTATAGCCGTTTCGGCATTTGTAAATTGGCAGGGAACAGAGGACATACACATTATAAATTTTCCCCCGATAATGATCAATATGGAAAATTTATATTGTGAAGTTGGCACTTTACACAATTATTCGATAATTTAAACTATGATTCACTTACATATCCAACATAAGACATGGGTAAATACATGTTGCTAAATCTTTGGATTTTTCGACCGAATCCTGTCATTCTCTTGAATATAAGATTCACTTGAAAAATGGCTCTTCCTGACATTGGAACTCCAGACATCTGAAAAAAAGTTGCAAATTTAGTACTTATAATAATTTCGGTTATCACCAAAAAGGCTTACTGGTTCAACGTTTAAAAATGATCCATGTTTTGCTATGTCCGGTTTCATGCCTCTAATTCGGTTCGACACAACTGGATCGGCGTTCATCAAGTGTGGAAAACTAGCGGCAAACGGGTAGTCTGGAAATTAAAAAAGTTTTTTTAGTCCTTGTTTGTGTTTTGCTGCAATTGAAGCTGGGGTTGCCCCAAAAACTATAGAGCTATGGACAATTTTTTTTACTATTTTTTTGAAAAACATTTTGCAAATTGCGTCAAATCTTGCTTGATGGGGTGGCACAATGACACCACCTCAGATAAACCATCGCCTATTCAAACTTATGTGATGCTCAAACAATATGAAAGTAAAATACTTTTACAATTAAGAATCTGCAATCAAGCGGAGCAATATTTAGGTTGCCTTTTTTCCAAGTGATACCCTTGACTTGTCTACAGTTGGATTTGATCATCATGTGAGAACAAAGATGGAAAATTATATAGGTAGAAGAACACATTCGTAGGCTAATCTAGCATAGCAGACTTGATCTTTCTCTTAGTTTTCTGATATATTCGTTGCAGTTTCGATATAAATACAACAAGCTGAAAAATTTCTTACTTGAGTAGCATGTAGACACATCCGATAAACCATTGGGCAGAGCAGGATTACCTCTATAACAGTCAGAATACTCTGGTTGGGTCCTATTAAAAGCGTCCAGAGTAACATCGTATCTATAACCAGTCATACCATATTTTCTGGTCTCATCTAGAAATAAAATTTAATTAGGTATTATTCCGATTACGAAACATGATTTATAAATCTTACTTGTGAAATATCCATTAACAGCCATACACAGAACCGCTTTCCAAGCATTAATATTCTGATCTTTTCTCATAAACTGAGGAAACAAGGTTGTTTCTGAAGTCCTATTAAACTGAGGTTTACATCTCTTGAAACTGGGCAGTGACTCTACACCATCAATGTTTTGAACGTTGAAATAGTCTTCGTGTCCGTATTTGGGTCCGATTAATACTGTTATGTTGTAGCTATTCTTCATATACATCTAAGAAAATATTTAGTTAGCATTTTGATCAATAGTACATAAAAAATTCTTAAGTGTCTCATTTTTCTTGCTTATTTTGTCCAAGTTAATCCAGCTATTGAAGAAAAAGATGGAGAATATTCACCATTATTTGAATACCAAAAAAATAAAGAATGCTTTGAAAGCAAATGTAGACTCTTCAGCTCATTAATTTAGCTGCAGCAGAGTATATTAAAGAGACTTAATAAAAACTTAAATATGCCTTATATTCAAGATAATTTATCAAATCCTAATAACTATACGAGTTGGTATAGTAATAAAATTTTTCCATGGGCTTACATTCTTGATAATTAGTAAAAATATAACACATTTGTCAATGGATCAAGACATATTCCAGAAGCTCTTCAATAAGAGTCAGTTGAGAATATCGATTTACTGACCATCTACCTTATGTGAGAAAAAAAATCAAAGGACCAATACAAAAAATCCATTTAGAATATCCGAATGAAGACATTCCTGTGGATACGTCAAAATTAATGAGAAAATAACGCTCATTCTCATGTTCTATTCCGATAATTTGTGCATTAGTTTCTGGTGTGACTGGCAGTGATGTTTCATCTGCCTTGAGTACCTTCAGCAGAGCTCCATTTGAAATTAGAGTCACTTCATAGAACCATTTGATCCTTGAGCCTATCAGCTTTACACAGATAAGTTGCACATAATAAGTCTGATGCCATGTTTCCTTTTCTACTTCTTCTCCTTGAAGTATGCGTCAGTTATCGAATACCTATTGGCGTTCATCATGGCGTGTTGTACTTTGTTAACGGTTGCTCTGAAGTAGTCAGTGGTTAACATGTTGAGGAAACTTTCATTTTTATAGAATCAAGCTCTGCCCTGAAGTATGAATCAACTCTGACTCAATCCAAGCCATTTATTGACATCAAGGCAATAAGATACCAGCTTCATATTGTTTCCCAAGGATATTAAATGATTACACTGAGAACAACATTTTCCGGAGGTGAAGATAACTCATCAAAAAGAACAAATCTAAGACCTGGAATACACGATTTCTGTATGAAGCTGGGAAACTGACGAATCTTACACAGGATGTAATAGGCTCATGAACAGGAAAAAGCCCCATGGAAAATAGAACATTTTCATATAAGGAATACCAAAATCTCACATCAAATAATGGATGTGGAGAGGCGTGATTATCCAGAGGATGATTCTATTGCTTAGAGCCCCTATGGTTAGAGCCTGAACGACAGCACAGTGGCGTGGTAGCGTGGTTATTGGCGAAACTAAAGATTTTGTTTTCTAATAATTTTATTGGTGTTTTCGGTGCCACTGAACCCAAAGACATGGATGGTTCTGATCAGGCGATGTCAGTTGACGTGTCAGTGAATATTCTCAGGTTACGCCCCACTTTTCTTCCCCCTTCCGTCACTCTCAAGTTACCACTTGCCAGACTATACCTATGGCATTGGAATAAAGAACGAAAAGGATGACCGACTCTCGCAGTTCTGCCAAGAAGAATACATGAAAAATCTAAACACGTGACATGTGACATAAAACTTTAATCACAAGCTATTTCTCGTTTTATTACATCGGTGGAGAAGAAAATTATGAAGCTCCACATTGGACGTCTCTACAGACTGGGAAGTAACTTCCAAACAGTGAAATAGAGACAATGTTTTCCATATTCATTCTTAGAGAAGAATATTTCAGGCATTTCAATATTAGATATAGAGGTGGTTGTGCTATATAAGTATAGTTACATTATTGTCTTTTGTACTTGAAAAATTTTCATCACAACTAAAGCATCAAATAGTTCATTATTACGAAACCGGTTCAACAAGTAGGTAAATACCATTTCTGACACACAAATTTTCTTTTAAGAGTTATGCCATTATATACTAATTAGTCCATATCACGTTTAAGTATATATTATGAAACAAATATTATGTGATCAGTTTTCAGTGGGCGTATACTTCTGTTGTGTCCTAATTTCTACTTATCAGACATGAGAAAGAAAGGCTGATTAGCCTCATTTTTTGTTTTCGATTTTGTTTTTTGAGTTTCTTAAGATGATTTCGTATGCATAACGGATGCATCGACATTAGAGTAGTTGTTTGTGTGCAAATATTTTTTTTTAATGTTTTTGATGAGTGTGTACTATGATCAAACCTTGCTTACTTGTTTTAATATCCCAACATTCAACGATGGTACCAAAGCAGGAGCCAAACTCTTAGCAGGTTCCAATACAGGATCGGTAGCGTTCATCAAATACTCATAAATCGTCATGTTTTTGAAAGGTTCACAGTTATATTTGTTCAATAAAATATTTAGCCCAGCTTTGACAAAGAACGAAGAATCTGAGAAATAGGACGTCATAACCAGTACTGCTAAATTCGGTGCTGTAATGGTACTATTGAGATCAATTGTATTACGTTCTGGCAAGTATTCTAGCGTTCTTGTTACTGTATAGGTTAAGGTACTGTTATTGTTGAACACTATGTTGGTATGAGTGAATTTTTCCCTATAACAAGAAGGATTATATAAGGCAAAGTAATTTAATACGAGAACAAATTCTTACCTATAAATAATTGGCCCTATTTCTTGTAAGTGTATAAAATCTTCAGTACCATCTAGGAACTGTTGTGAGTTGGTTACATTGAAAATGTAGACTTTGGCTAGTAGGTTGTCTGGAGGGTCTGCCCAAAATGTGTAAGGCGGGGTACCTAAGACAAAGTAGAATATAAATTAGGTGAAAAACTATTGAAATTTTGCAATGCAATGCAATCACCTTGAACATTATATTCATATAAGGGTTTTATCAAAATAATAAATAGTTAAAGGAATATAAATTAATAACACCAATTATAATATTTGAAAAAATGCTTCCTCGACAAACTTGTAATTAGAATGAAAACCGCACGAAATATGTATCACATCCGGGGGTTTTTTAATTATGATAATTATTTTTCCATTCTAAACAAATAAATGTTGTACTATGTACAGACGTTGATGAGTTAAGTTTTTCGGAAATCATAATAATATCATTAAATTAGATGAGTGATAAATAATTCATCAATCATAGTTATTTATAGTACTAGTGTGTAATGTTGAAAATAAGTCACGTGAGAAAAAATTATGACACGAGGCCGTCAGGCCCAGTGGTATAATTTCTCGAGTTGAAAAACATAACAAACGAATAGCATACAATGTTTTATCCAACAACTGAGAAATCATAACACACGAGCAGCATACAAGAACTGAAAAATATAGAATAGGTATTTTTTGGGAACGAGTCTTCTTTAAAACAGGATTTATAAATTTTTATTTCCTGACGTTTTGCGTTGCGGTTATAAGAGAGTGAGTCATAAACCATAGCCCACCAGTGGGTTATGTGGCACACGAGTGGCATACAATGTTTAATCCAACAAGTGGAAGAAATCGTTTTTTTTTTTTTTTATGACATAATACAAAAAAAATACAAGGTTCTAATGCGTCGGCGTCTTCCAGCACTATCAGCAGCTGCACCAATAAGGGAACGTCTGGTTCCAATGAACCCAATGAATTTAACAATGACTTCAAATTCGAATAAACCGTTAGCGTTTTCCTTTAATTTCAATATCATTGTGAATTCTGCTTGTAATAGTGACAAATAAATAGAATACTACTTTAAATTTGAACGTGAATTATAATCCATAACTCACTAGTGAGTTATGGATTATAACACACTAGTGTGTTATTTGATAGTTTACTTTTCTAAAATGAAATTAATAATAATAGTCATAACTGTCATGTGTTGGATAAAGTTAATTAATAAATTGTGCATTACGAAAAAAACGAACAGAAACTAGACGATATGAAAACACGAGATTTGATCTGAAAAATAATCTTATGCAGAGATTACCCAATTCCCTAATTTAATTCCTAATGTTATTCCTTGTTTCTAATTCATAACAAGTTTGCAAAGTATTTTTTTTCCAAATGAGTGCGTGTATCCAAATCCTTATTTCTTAATTCAATTTTTAAGAACAAAAGGAATAAGAAACCATATTAGATACGGATGAACTTCTTTACTGCACATCACATTCCAGCAAATTTCGTGCATTAAATGCCCCAAAAACAAACAGAAGACAAAATTTGTGAATTGAGAAGTTGGATAAACTTTGCATAAGCGCTAACAAACTGCATATGAAGCACCAACAAATTGCAACACGATATTAAGAATTGAGGAGTTGGATGAACCCGGCATTATACTTTGTGAAACACTTAAGTTTTAATGTCTTTTAAACCAAATTAGCTAGTTGAAATTAGAAAAAAAAAAAACACTGATGAATATGTTCATTATTTGGGTATGAACAGGTTCCAGGGTATCGGATACTCAAAAATTGACTGTCTTCTTTACTATCTTCAGACATAAAAGGTTCATAGGTGATCGTGTTTTGTAAATGTTTCACTATTTGTTACAATCACTTACCTCGAATCATACGCAGCCTCATATCGAACAAAAAATCCGTGGGTGTGTAGATGATTGAGGAAATTCCCAATGCCAGGAAAAAGATTGCCAATGGCAACTTGTATAGCGTGCCTAGAAAATAATTTTCAAAAATTAAAAAGTTTAAAAAAAAATTAATGTATTTTGAAACAACAAATGCCATACAGCCTAAAAAATAACTTACTTATATACATTGGATATATTTCAATAAATAACTTAGGACGAAAAATTAAATTATTAAAAATAAACTGACTAAACAAAAATTGTGTATCGAATACTCTGGCGGTAAAACACAGACAACTTAAATACTATTCACACGAGCATTCTTCCGACTTATTTAAATCAAAATGTGAAATCAATTAACATTAAATATAATTGCTCCACTATTATAATTCAAAACTTAATAACTAATAGCTGAAAATTTGAGTTTATTGAATGCGTGGAATTAAATCAAGTGATTCGTGCAAAAATAACAATATTTTCTTCAACTTTGAACTAGATGAATTAGCGTTTTGCTTTACCTATAATTAATTAGTAATTTCTGTTTACTTTTGAAGCAGCAATAAAATTACCAGAATATTCATAATATAAACAAACAGCTATAAAAAAATAATGATTTCCAGGTTTTACTTTCCAAACCGTTGAACCTCAAATGCCAATAAAAAGTATCAAAATGTTATTTCAGTAGGGGAAACAATAAATCTGGATAATGCAAAAATGGACTATCTAGATATTCCACTTTCGAAATGGATCTTAGATGAGCTTATTAACAATCACATATTATGTAATGACATTAGTAAACCGTGTCAATTAGAAGAAAACTGAAGACGGCAGCGAAAATACTTTTGAACGTAGAATAGAGATATGATTTTCACCAAAAGAGTACGACACAGGAAAAAAATGCATGCATCATACCTACACAAGGTATTATTTCCAAAGAAATGTCCTCTGTGAACTTAAAATTTTCCGGACGTGAATTAGCAAAAGAAAATTGAAAAGCAAAAGGGTTTGGAAGCAATAAAAAAGTATTTGAGAAATCTTTGCGCATTCTCTTCCTTGTCCAGATCCGAATGATACATCAGATGCCGAGTTAGTATCATTTGCATCTACACCGTCTATTTTCCACTAAGAAGAGACCAATAGTAGAGACAACTATTATTATCCGGGTATTGCGATCAAAGAAAATCAGGATGCTTCTTAATTTGAACCAGAGCAAGTTCAAGTAGAGGAGATTGTCGATGACCCGAACATCATAGCAATAGATGAACAAGACCGGTTCGAGGAAACCATTCCGATGGACCCAAGCTGCTGGCCCGCCATTTCAAGTCACCAAATTATTGAAAAATTAATGAGTATGGGCCCATCCAAAGTTACGCATAATTACCCTGATAAGGGACAAGGACAATAGGTCACCATCATCAAACAGTCTCTTTTCACTTCAAGTGTTGAACATAGCCTAAAATTTTCTAGTCTCTGTTCTGAGCAATTGCGATCCAATTTGATGAGATCCTTTGAGGTCGTATGTCCAGTGTGTGGAAGGTCTTCCTCGGTTTCGTTTGTCGGCTCTTGGTCTCCACTCAATGATTGTCTTCGTCCATCTTCCGTCATATTGCGACTTGGCCTACCCATTTCTACTTTTGTTTTGCGATACGTTCTAGAATATCGTCCACCACAGTTCTTTTGCGGATCTTATTATTCCTTACTCGGTCTTTTAAAGTCAATCCGAGCATTTTTATTCGTTTCTGTGTTACTCTCAACTTTTCTGCTGATGCTTTGGTCAGAGTCAATGTCTCCGCACCATAGGTCAGGACTGGGAGGACACACTTCCCGTTAAAGGGATATTGGAATATCAGCCCTAGACACATCCCTCATTTTCCCGAAAGCTGTCTATCAAGGTTATTCTTATCGTCAATTCGTATGTTTGGTTGGTTATCTCTATGAATTCTCATAGGACCCAGGTATACATACTCGTCCACTATCTCTATGTTATCATTGTTAGAATTTTGAATAGTAGGTACCATATCAATTTCATTGGAAGACTCGAAGTCCGAGTTGGAAATAGTGCTCTATCAATTTCATGGCTGGATATGATTTATTGAATTTATTTTAAATTAAAAAAATGCTACACCAATGGTCATTCGGGTGTTTCCGTTTCCGTCAAACTGCCTGCCAAGTTCTGGCAGCTAATTTCACAATAGGGTACTTGCATGGAAAATTAAATTGATTATTGTTTATTGCAAACTGTAGGAAATCGAAAAAAAATCGTTACTTTTTTTTTATTTCGCCCAAATATGATTATTCTGGAAGTTATACAAATATTAAGTTTTGTATATATAGATATCCTGAGCATGTGCGACGTCACTAATTTATATGATAAGTGACGTCATATGCATATTTCATAGCGTCGTATCTCCGTCAATTTTTGACTAAGAAGAAAAAGAAAAAACACGTGTTGACTTATTTTTCATGGACTATCGAAATCAGCAATAAAAAAATTTGATGCAAGGGGCTATTATCATGCTCTATGAATATGTTGAACACATCACACAGGTATTTGCTCGTTTTGCAATTATTGCGCCTTTGATGCGCGATTTGTGTGTAGTCACCAACTTTGAGCGGAAAATATTTATATTATTACTAAATATCCCATAAACATATACGTCTATGCGCCTAATATCCGAATGTGTGGAGTTGCCTTAATGACGACTACACAGAAATGACGACCCAAAAAAAAAAAACAGTATTTGACAGTATTGACTGACCACAGATGACAGAACATGTGATGGTGGTCGAGGCGATGGTGGATGGTATCGAAATCACAACAGACAAGCAAGCAACAGTTTAATGCTGCATTATGAGGATGAAAAGTCGAGAAGGATTCGGAGAGACCTACACCAAAGAATAAACTCAAATTAGTTGGAAAAAACGGAAAGGATTGTATCATATAGTCTGTTTTTTTTTTAAAGATAATTCCTCAAGTCAAAAATTTTGTAACTATGTTGGCAGCACAAGCTTTTTCTAGATAAAAAATTTGAAAGCATTGACAATTTTACATTGTATTGCCAACCTAATGTCATTTTGACATTTATCTTAAAAAAAACAGATTTTATCTAACTTTTCTCTAACTTTTTTGTTTTTTTTGAAGTCAGGTCTATTTTTAGAAGGTTCAAATGGCATAATTTTCTTTTCAAGGCTGACAGATCTTCGAATTACAGCAGTCCTACCACTAACATTAAAACTTTCAGGCCCCAGGCAGATTGATTTATCTGCATTGCAAGTTGAAGACCAAAAACCTCATGAAGAAGAGACGCCACTGTCCTGAGAGTTTCAATGTTAGTGGTGGGACTGCTGTAATTCAAAGATCTGCCAGGCTGAAAAAGAAAACTATGCCATTTGAACCATCTAAAAATAGATCTGACTTCAAAAAAACAAAAAAGTTAGAGGTAAGTTGAATATATGATACAATCCTTTCCGTTTTTCCCAACTGATTCAAGTTTACTCTTTGAAGTGGGTCTCTCCAAATCCTTCTTGACTCAGATATCATCCACCATCACCTCGACCACCATCACATATATTCTGTTATCTGTGGTCGTTCAATAGTGTCAAATATTGTGTTTTTTTTTGGGGGGATCGTCATTTCTCCTATGGTCGTTATTAAGGCGACTCCACACATTCGGATATCAGAGCACTATTTCCAACTCGGAGTTCGAGTTTTGCAATGAAATTGATAGGGTACCTACTATTCTAACACCATTTCCAACCCCCATGCAATATCCCATTGACTCAAACCTCGTCGAAGTACGAAAAACTAGGAAGACTGCAAACTGCAAACTCAAGTAGGTAGCTCCCATCTGGCCTAGCTAATAATTTCATCTTTAGGTCCACTTCTTGCGTGGAATTTTGAAGTTCCTAAAGCGTTTCTTTAGCTCCGCACAGACTGTCTAATATTAGGACAATATCATCTGCAAAGCGAAGATTATTAATACTTTCCCCATCTATGACTATTCCTTTTCGCTCCCAAGGCAATTTCCTAAAAGCATGTTCGAGAACTGTGATGAACAGCTTGGCTGACATAGTGTCACCCTGTCGGATTCCTCTTGGGATTCTAATTTTTCTGGTCGTGGAGTGAAGATTTACGATGGTCGTTGCGTTTCCGTATATGTTTTTAATAATTTTGCAATATCGGTGATCAACTCTACTTTCTTGTAGTGATATCAAGATTGCAGGCAGTTCCACGTTGTCGAACGCCTTTTGGAAGACTACAAACACCAATAAGTATCAAAGGATGGTTGTATTCAATACTCTTTTCTATGAGGGTTTTGGGACACTGAAAGTCATCGTTGGTTCCGAACCCAGGGTCCTCATTCTTGAAACAGGGGAGCAGCGTTCCCAGGAGAACGAGTGTTCCGTCTCTGTTTACTTATATTATCAGTTGCATATCATTGTTTCAAGAATAGAGACCCTGAGCGGAAACAAACCTGTTCCCGGGACTGATGGAAGTCCAATTTACGTCGATTTACTATTATGCGAGTATAATATATAATTTGTATAGGTAATTGAGTAGACTTATAGGTCCATAGTTCTCGTGGTTTGTTCTATCACCTTTTTCATGTAGCAAGATCATAATTGAGTTGTTCCAGTTTTCCAGAATGTCATGACTCTGCAGAAGTAGATTTCGAATTTCTCTAATTAGTGTTGGTCCTACTATTTTTATCTCGTTCTCCCGGAGCTTTATTGGTGCTTGTCTTTTTTAAAGCATTATGGTTTTCATCTATGGGAAATTCCGGAATATCTTTCGATCCTTGGTTTTGGCTCTCTTTGTAGGATTTTTTTTTGATTCATTGTTATATAATATAGAATTCACCTGATACCAGAACAACACAGATTCTCTAGCAAACGTTCAACTGCATTCAACCTAACAGTCTACCAGAACTTTTTAATTACCTCCGTTGAGATAGATCTAGCCAAGGCTTTTGTTACCGTTTCCCACCTCCTTCTCTTAAAAGAACTATCAGAAATTGGTATTTCTAGAAACTATTTGGCATGAATCAAATCATATCTTGGAGATCGAACCCAGCGGGTAGAAGTGTGAG